GAATGTTTGCCTTTCCTCGAGTTTGTCGCCATTCTTCTACTCTTCCAGGCAAGAATCACTCAGGGGTCGAGTCCGGACAGACCAGATGCTCAAAACAGCAAGGACATTTAGTAGAGAACCATAGAATGAACAAGTCGGAGCGGGAGTCACGCGACACACGTCTCACTCCTCCGCCATCTTGCCCCGCCCTCTGTAATAACATTCTTTTTATGTGTTCTTTTCATACATTGATAAAATTATGAATAAAAGAAGATTATTATTTTTATTATCAGATTAATAAGACGAAAATATCTCTTTACTGTTTAAGAAAACATGTTATGACTAACTTGAACAGAGTTCTGTCTCTTTAAAGGAGGCCTTCTGAGCAAAGTCAAAGACAGGCTGTTTTTTCCACCCCTAGGTGACCACTACAAATGTAAAACTGCATTGCATATAAGCAGTGCTTCTAAGGCTGAGTTCACCTGAAACTCATCAGACTGAAGAAGTCTCTTGGCGAGAGACGAAATGTTTCACTAAAGAAGGACCCATCCAGAGGACCTACCTCTCTGACCTACTTCTTCTATTCTCATGGGATCTTTGCATTGACTTCCATTCATTTACCAGACATTTCTAAAGCCTAACCCACCAACAGTATTTTCCCCAATGGGGACTCGGCTATAATTTAAGTTCAGTGGTGAGTTTTAATCTATTATTTAGGTGTTTTTAATCAGTTAAACTCTATTTTAATGACAAGAATTAGGAAACTGAAGCTAGTAAATTACAGAAATTGGTCAATTCAAACATTTAAAGTAGTACTGATTGTATTATTAGCAAGGATAAAATGTTAATTTTTTAGAGTTTCAGTATTTTTTTCATAAAACAGTGCTTCATGGGCAGAGAACTAACTTTTAACAATGGGATCATGGAAAGAACAATTAGTCATCTGTTAATTCATTCATGCTATTTCATTATATTTTCTTGACTTTTTGCTGACTTCAGGTGACAGTAAAAATAACCCAATACTTAATCCATCAATATTTAATCCATGTCCATGTCTGTTGATGTAGGAGCTGTTAGATTCAGCAGGTAGAGTTCTGTCAGGTGAGCGGTGAAGGTGCTGGGCAGGTGTGAATGAAATAAAAAATGTTTACTCAAATTAATATTTATTTTGAGTACATTCTAGTCAGCTGTGTGAACTTAATSAAAGGAATTATGGATCTAAAAGCATAATYTACAGCATGATTAACATTATTTCTAGAAAGTGGTAGAAATTGTTTTTCATTATTAGGATTTGCCTGATTAAATAAAAGTCAATAAATAAATCTGTCAATTCATCCATCATTAGATTTCTGATCAGTTCCAAACATCCACGTATCAGTTTTTCTTAATCTTTACAGGATGATAAAACTGATGAAAGTTATATTTTATATGACTACTGTTTGACACAAAGGCTGCATGATGTCCATTTGTTCTGAGTAGACCTGTCATTTAATTAGAAAAATAAATGCCTTTGATCTGTTCATTGTGTAGTTAATATTTTAAACACGCAGATGCTTGGCACAATGACATGTTACAAATAAAACTAAATCAAGAACAAACAATATAAAATAAAATTCTCCTCTAAAGTCATTGTTTGGGATAAATTGTCACCTTAATTTCATTATCTGAGCCANTACAGCATGATTAACATTATTTCTAGAAAGTGGTAGAAATTGTTTTTCATTATTAGGATTTGCCTGATTAAATAAAAGTCAATAAATAAATCTGTCAATTCATCCATCATTAGTTTTTTGATCAGTTCCAAACATCCACGTATCAGTTTTTCTTAATCTTTACAGGATGATAAAACTGATGAAAGTTATATTTTATATGACTACTGTTTGACACAAAGGCTGCATGATGTCCATTTGTTCTGAGTAGACCTGTCATTTAATTAGAAAAATAAATGCCTTTGATCTGTTCATTGTGTAGTTAATATTTTAAACACGCAGATGCTTGGCACAATGACATGTTACAAATAAAACTAAATCAAGAACAAACAATATAAAATAAAATTCTCCTCTAAAGTCATTGTTTGGGATAAATTGTCACCTTAATTTCATTATCTGAGCCAAAGCAGTGAGTTTAAAAACAGGATGATTCAACTAGAATCTGTCTCTAATTTAGTTATTTAATCAAGTGTTTTATGTATGTAAAAGTAGGTTTGGGAACCTSGTAAAATACACCAGAATGCAGGAAACTGCATCTACTAATTTCAAAATTTTCTGGGGGAGGACCCCCAGACCCCCAACTAATGCCCCCTCACACACATTACAATGATTCTGATGCTCATTACTAAACATTAGATAGGATAAACCAACACACCTGTAGTGCACCACCTGTGTACCACAAAACTGAACTGTGTTCTATGAAACTAGTTGATTGTCAAACTGAACTCCTGGTGAGATTAAAGAGCTTCTACAGTAGTATAATTCAGGTGAACATCATATATGTGTGATTGAGTACACGTTATTGCTCCACAGCAGAAACATTTACTTTGTTGTTTATGAAGTGTGAAGAGGCAGGTTTTGATCGATGAATACAAAATACAAAAATATTACATGCGAGTGCTACATCTTTGCCTAGTTTTTTATACATACAAAAATTGGGCTGGTCTTGGCCATTAAACTCCAAGGCTGAAAAGTTTCCCCACTCAGCCCCCGGGCTATAATTCTTCACTTCACCATCTGTGTTGCAGCTTCCAGTCTCCAAAATGAGCGTATGCATGGGTTAGAGCTGGCTAAGTGACCACACATTTTCATGTCAGGTTTGAGTTTTATAAATCCCAACCTTTGTGTGAAAAATGGCAAATGCAAGTTTCTGGCCCCATTTTGTGTGACGCAAGCTTTATAAATGCCACCCCGGGTTCTAAGTGAGCTCTGGATCCAGTTTAGCTCTAAAACCTGTTTGGTTATAAACACAATTGTTACCTGAGCAGTCCAACAAGAGATGTACTGAATGTGTGAATWTAAAGCTACAGTTCTCCTTTAATGTCCTGTTCATGTTTCAGTGGTTCCTGAAGGTGTTCATCTGCGGATTAAAGAAGATCCCGAAGAACAGAACCCTGATGTGGACCAGCAGGACCAAGAACACCTCCAAATAAAAGAGGAAGAGGAGGAACTGTGGAGCAGTCTGGGAGCAGAGCAGCTCAATGTGAAGGAGGAGACTGATGCCACCAACTTTACGTTCACTGCAGTTCCTTTGAAGTCTGAGGATGATGAAGATAAACCTCTGTTCTTACAGCTTCATCAACACCAAGCTGAAGTCAGAGATCTTCCAACCAGCAGCTCAGCTCAGGATTCTGACTCCTCCGAGACTGAAGTCAGTGAGGATGATGAAGAGGATGATGATGTGAACAATCCTGACTCTCAGCTTAAACACGTAGCAGAGACTGGGTCAAAAACTGAAGACACTGATAAAGACTGGGAGCCATCTCCCAGCAGGGTTCCAGAATCAGGCGTAAAAAACCACAAAAATGAACAGAAGCTGTTGTGTTGTGAGCTGTGTGGGCTATGGTTTAACACAAAGGCCAGTTTAAACACACACATGAGGAGCCACACAGGACAGAAACCATTTTGTTGTGAGCTGTGTGATCAAAGGTTTACTGAAAAGGGCAGTTTAAACATACACATGAGAATCCACACAGGACAGAAACCATTTTGTTGTGAGCTGTGTGATCAAAGGTTTRCCACAAAGAGCAGTTTAAACAGACACATGAGAATTCACACTAAAAACAAAGCACTCATGTGACTCCTAAGTTGAAACCACACAGAAGGAATCATCCGTTTGTCTTTACACATGCTTCAGATAAATTAAGACTATGTTGCTTTTTAACAAGTTATGAAAGTCCAGATGATGATGATGATGATGATGCCATGGATCTGGAAACTTTAATATGTTAGTTGACAGCATTGGAGTGATTACAGACACACCTGTGGACACATTTTAAAGCTGACCCTAAACACTGTTTCTTTGTGTGAGACCCCAGGAACAATCAAAAGAAATCAGTCCTGATATCAGGAAGAAAACTGTTGACCTGCACAACTCTGGTTCATCCTTGGGTGTGTATGAATGCTAAAGTTAATGGTCCAAACTGAAAAGAGCAGTCTACAAATCTGAGTCAGTTCCACTAGTTTTGTCAGGGAGAACCAGACAAAACTCCAGCAAACTACTCAAATAAACTTGTGGAAGGATACTGTTGTGGAAAATATTTATTAACGGGCAGAAACACATGAATAAAAGAGAGTGCACTGCGCAGATGGTCATGATGATTTAATAAAAGGTTTCACAAAGGGCAAGATGAGCCGTGAGGTGAACAGGGGAAATCAGACCCTTGAGCACCACCGCAAACTGACTAGCATAGCCACAGGAAATGGTATATACATGCAGGCAGAGCACAAACAAGGCAATGACAGAGTTACAGGTTTTCAGTAGGATCAAAATGAGAACAGACAGTGGTGTCTTTCAATCATAGGTACAGATTATGATAAATCGTAGCAGTTATCAAAGAGATACAGAATAGAATGTCAAGGCAATTGTGAACATAATGATCAGGCAGAGTTATATAATTATTTCTAGCACACTCCCCTCCTCTTGTTCATTCATTGAAAAACTAGATAAGGGAAAATAATTATATACTGGCTTAACAAAAATGTAAAAGAAACAACAATAAATGCAATTTAAAATAAGTTAAACAGATCAAATAAGAAAAGATTATTGAAACAACTCAATAAATCAATGAAATGAATGTCAAAAATTTAAAGCAACTCTAATGGCCTAAAATTTAGTCAACACCTCAAATGTAATCTTCTTCCTTGCAAATAGATCTTTTAGCCGCAGATGTCCCAAGACWTACTTTGAATGTGGGTGTTAATCAAATAACAGCTAATTGGCATATGTGATTGAATTCACATAAGAACTTTAATCAAAGTAAACCTGGACAAATCAATTAGAATAAAAGCTTAAGGCCTTAACTCTTAAAACAGACTGAGTAAATGTAAATAGCAAACGATAAATAGAACCACAACAATTTTATGAACTTAAGAGTAAAYGGAAATAATGTCATCAAAATGTGTAAAATAAGTTTCCACTCCATTCAGGAAAACTATATTCCATCCCAACAATCAATCAACAATCCCACCTCTCTGGTGGCGATCCAGAAGTGGAGGGAGAAGTCCGCCACTGAACTTTGTCCTTGCCATAAAGCCATTAGCCTCTTCAAATCTGTTTCCTGATGAAGAGGACATTCAAAAACTTGCTGGACATCATTTAAGAAAGTGGAAAAAGAGTAATTATTCACAGAGGAGTTGTGGAAGTATGCATGAGCCCACCTTAAGGCATCTCCTTGGAAAGCGGAAATAAGGAAAGTTATTTTAGCCGAGTCGGAAGAAAAAGTATCTGGAGCTCTACAAAAAGCAAGGTTACACTGGAATAGGAAACCATCAAAATGTTCAGGATTTCCACTAAAAAACTGACTGGGGCGAGTTTTGGGCTCATGACCGGGTGGTTGATGGTAGGAGGCTATTGGTGGCGATGTGGGGTCAGAAACGTTTGAAGGGGCGGAAGCAGCTGAGGCTAGGAGGGAGGTTAATTTCTGGTCAAGGGAGTAAATCATACCACTCAATTCATCCATATTGTCAGATTGTTTTTGTTGTTGGGACAGAACTAGTTGTAATAATAATAATAATAATAATAATAATAATAATAATAATAATCATTTTATTTGAAAAGTGCCTTTCAGGACACCCAAGGACACTTAGAGCAGTAGGTACATCATAGGAGAATGTGTGAAAATACAGATTAGAGACAAGATGGCATGAGTTACAGAGCATTGTTTACAAATGAAGTTGGATATGCTAATCTAAAGAGATGTGTTTTCAAAGCAGTCTTGAACACAGGAAGAGAGGTGGTGTTTCTTAGGTCAGGTGGTAGAGAGTTCCAGAGGAGAGGTGCAGAGCAGGTGAAAGCCCTGCTCCCCATGGTGGAGAGGCGGGCAGTGGGTACTTGAAGGGTTAGGGAAGAAGAGGATCTGAGAGAGCAGGAGGGGATGGAGATGTGTATGACGTCAGTCATGTAAGGAGGGACAAGATGGTGGATAGCTTTAAATGTGAGAAGAAGAATTTTGAAGGCGATGCGTGATTTGACCGGGAGCCAGTGGAGCTGCTACAGGACTKGGGTGATGTGGTTATGGGAGGAGGTTTGGGTGATGACAAGTGCAGCCGAGTTCTGCACCATCTGAAGCTTATGGAGGGATTTGTTGGGGAGGCCAAAACGGAGAGAGTTGCAGTAGTCGATCCGTGATGTCACAAGACTGTGGACAAGGATGGCTGTGGTGCGGGTTGTGAGAGGTGGACAGAGACGGTTGATATTTCTGAGGTGGAAGTAGGCAGACCAAGTAACATCAGTGATGTGTGCAGTGAAGGAGAGAGTGGTGTTGAGGATGACACCAAGACTCTTGAACTGAGGGGAGGGGGTTAGCAGAGTGTTGTTGATCGGTATGAGGAGACTGTTAGATTTTGAGATTGAATTTTTAGTGCCGACAAGGAGGATTTCTGTTTTATCGCTATTCAGTTGAAGGAAATTGTCTGAAAACCAGCGATTGAGTTCATTGAGACAGTCAGAGAGGATGGAGGGAGGGTGTTTAGAGTTTGGCTTGGTTGAAAGGTAGAGCTGTGTGTCATCTGCATAACAATGGAAACGGACACCAAACTTGCAGAAAATGTAAGCAAGAGGAAGGAGGTAAGTAATGAAGAGAAGGGGTCCACTGACAGAGCCTTGGGGCACGCCAGTGGAAACGGGAGATAATTCAGAGTGGAAGGATTTAATCTGGATGAAATGAGTGTGGTCAGAAAGATAAGATTTGAGCCAGTTAAACGCAGTTTGATGGTCTGAAAATTCTTTTTGCAGGCGGAAACATCATCTTGTAATGCAGCTATATGTGCAGCAGAACTCATTGATCAGCTCTGTGTGATAATGCTTTAGTCTCCAGATGATTGTCGATTTCATCTGAGTTAGCAGGTATTCGAACTGGGCATTCATATGCTGATATATTTTTTGAGTTTCAGATTGATTTGTTTCATTTATCATAGTTTTCAGATAGCTTAATTGACTCTTCAGCTCAACTTTCATCTTTTGAAGCTCCACCATCTGCGTTGGCACTGCAGACTGGGGCTGTGGCTTTTGAGGAATGGCGACGAGGGGCGAATCCAGCAGATCACCTTCAACCAACTCCATGTCTAATAAAGTATAAGCTGTAATTTTTTATGACTGCAATGGGGATGCCAAGTTCTCATTTAAATCTACAATTATTTTGTCTTGAGTGCTCATCATTTTTGATGAAATTTTTTTAATATATTAATTTTTTTACTTTACTAAATATTAGTCACTTCCATTAATTAAAGTTTGTTGCTTAAATAAGTCCCATGTTGGGTGCCATTGTTTTATGTGACGGTTCCGGTTTATGAGTTTATTGTTAGTTATTTTGAATAATTAAATTSGGTGCCAGCCAGGTTTCCCTCCTGACCTATAGGATATTTTACTATTGTGTGTGATTTTATGGTTTGATTTATAATGGCTTAGTTTAATTTGTAGCTTAACCAGTCACACAAGGACATGCAAGTTATAAAAAGTAATTACACACCCTTTTTAACCTTAATTAATTCATTGACCAAAAAATATGTAACCAAGAAATAAATAAACGCACAGCGAAAATGAAGATCTTTTCAATATATTGTTTACACACAAAAAATTCACAAAAAATATGAACAACCCCACCCCCTCTAATGTCCTTACAAATATTCAATGGTGCAGTCTTTTGTTTCAGTCCATGAACTTTTAGTCTTCACACAAAAAACTTGGCCTTTGCTCCAAAAACTTGATTTTTAGTTCCACAACAATCAAATATTCCACAGAAAAAAGAGGATGGAAGCCATAAACAAGGTATCATACAAGTGGAGTTGGTTGAAGTTTATTGACTGGGTGTGATTAGAAACAGTTATGCTGGTTTAGAGATTGCATACGTCATCATTGCGCGTTCAACCAATCAAGCTGCTTTGACTTGTGGTGATGTCATTTTACGGCGACTGGAACAACACTCCTTTTATTTTTTTCCGCAATGGATTTAAGCTTTTAGATAAGATACAATAAGATAATATAAGATAAGATAAGATAGAACTTTATTGTCCTGATGCATCTCAGTAATCCAGGTAAAAAGAAAAAAATTGTAAAGGTCTTCTGGAC